AAACAAAAAGGTCATCAACTTGGAAAAGTTCGGACTTGGAAACTTTTTTGGACTTTTTCAAAATTCTGTCCGAGAAATTGTCGGATTTCAAATTTTTCCGGGGCGTACGATAATTTTGTGCCGCGTACGATAATTTTGCGCCCCTGTGTCCATCAAACGAACTAAAGTCTCTGGGATCACTGAGAAAAAGAGTCAGTACATAGAATTTCTTTGCTTGGATCAGTTGCCTTGTTCGATTGTCGACGCCTAGTTAAAGGTTGTATTAAAACAGGGTATAAATTTAGTGTTTTTATAAATACATTTTGTAACATACGCGTAAATATCTTTTTTAATAATTAATAAATACTAAACATGATATGATAATAAGTATTTACGTAATTACTCGTACTTGGAATAATATATAGTAAAACAATATTTTCCTTTATAAAATAAGATTCTTATTATTATTATCATTATTATTTTATTATTATTATTATTATTATTACTTTTTTATGAACACAAATTTATTATCAAAGATATAAACAAAAATAAATCTTAATTATATTTTTCTTGAAACTATTCCAAATACAATCTTGCAAATATGTAAGTATATTTTGTTTGAATTGAAGAATTTTTTATAGTATTATCTTTAATATTTCAGTCAGCAAGAAAGAAAAACGAATACTCAATTTTATTTGCACATACATGTATATATACATATATATGTATATATATACACATTTATATATAGTATCGGATAGATTTGGTATTTAAGTTAAATTATAAAATATTAATTATCAGCTTACAACCCCAGTTAGTAACAGGTTCAATTTTTCAATGTTGTCCCTGTCTAGCAGTGGGGCTAGTGAACTGATATAATACCTTCAATTATACCTTGATCGTCTCTGCTCTAATTACAAGAAACAACTTTCATATGCAATATACCGTTTGGATATAAAACAGGCCCCAGACTGCTAACACTAATGCAAATGTCCAATTTTCGTTGCCATTTTTCAAATGGTTTCAAATCGATTGGACTTTGGCATCATTGGTGAAAGTGGTGCGGCCACGCAACAAGCTTGATACTTAGAAGAATGTTACATTTGGAAGTTTATCGTTAGGCTTTAGACTAACCATTATATCAATGTTCACATTCTTTTCATTTTAATTTCACAAATATTGTTTATATAATTAAAGATAATATGATCTTTGTTTTGACACGCCAAACAAATATCCAATTAGTATCATTTTTATTTTATTATATTTTCAATATAACAATGTATTTATACTTGGAAATTATAGTCTTTCGTAGATGGATATCGATAAGGAAGAAAACAGTATCGAAGAGTTCCAATCAGAGATGCAAAACAACGTTGTTGAGAAACCAGATTTTATGGATACAAGCTATGAAGAAAAGGATGATGTTTTGTATAACGAAGATGTTGCTCCAAGTATTGAATCTAACACCGATGATCATAACTGTCATGACAAAGTGTTCGATCAAAGTCATTGCAGTGAAGCAATGGAAGACAACGAACAACTTATTAATGCTACTATTGAAGCAGTTAATAGTTTGGAGAATCAAGAACTTGAATCTAATGCTGATGATATTGTAACTAATGATGATTTAAGACAATTCGATGTGTTGGATGATCTTGAACGACACCCTGATCAAAATTGTTCCGATATGGACTCTGATACTAATGAAAGCATGGATTCAGAAGTTCCTGATGAAGAAATTGAAGCTATGCTTGAAGAAGGTAATTTTATTTATTATAAATTAAATGAAATTTGATTGAATAGAATGAAATAATGATTATTATGGCTTTTGTAATGATCGTTAGTTCTAAAATTTCAATTGTAATTAGATATTATTCAAATAAGATGTATCAGATATTTTATTAATATAAAATATTCAAAGAAATATCTTTTGCAAAATATAAACATTTATATTTTGCATAGTAATGGATATTAGTTTTAATAACAACAGGAGGAAGTAAGATTACTTCTTTTTGTACTTCTGATACAGATCATGTGCTGCTGCCAAGTACCTTTTTCTAGTTAAGTATTATGTATTAGGTTTACCAGAAGAATTTAAAGGGAAAAGGAAAGACAAAAAAGATAGTATGCCCTACGAAGAAAAAGAGAAACTTGTTTTAGATGGTAAGAAATGAAAAACTTCATAATCAAATACATTTATTAATATTATAATAATAATAATAATAATGAATTTATTTTAGAAATTGGACACAATCATTTCGATGTCTTACCTGAAGGATGGGTACAAGTAACTCATAACAGTGGAATGCCATTGTATTTACATAAACAAAGTAGAGTTTGTACATTAGCCAAACCATATTTTCTTGGTCCAGGAAGCGTAAGAAAACACGAAGTACCTGTTAGTGCTATACCTTGTCTACAATATAGAAGAGCATTACACGAAGAGGAAGAAGAAAAAAAGAAAGAGAAAGATCGTGAACCTTCTGCAGAAGTTTGTAGTTTACCAAGTGCAAAAATAGAAACCATTCAAGAAAATCGAGCAGCACATTCATTGGACAGCGAACAACTTAGAAATTATTGTCAATCGTTGTTTCGTTTTAAAGCTATCAAAGTTATGAGATTTCAGTAAGTGTATTTTATATCAAATTCATTATTTATTAATTATACAAAACATTGTATTAACAATATTGAATATTATTATCATAGGTCATGGTCAGCTAGAAGAAAATTTACAAAAAATAAAAAACATCGTAAACAATTGGAACGTCCAACTTTACCAGATGGTACTAAATTGATAACATTTCCGGTAACAAGTTCAGGAATGACTGGAAATAGTGGTAACATAACGGGAGAAGATAGTGGTGCACAAAGACCATCTAAACATTGGATAATGAATCCTTCTGGGAAAAGTTATGTTTGTATACTTCACGAATATGTGCAACATGCGTTAAAGAAACAACCTACGTACAAATTTAAAGAACTAGGTATGATACTATATATATATATATATATAATTAATTCTACATCGACATAGTGAATTTTATTAATGCTGAAAAATGTTATTAGTAATCCTTATAGTTTCTAGAATATTAATCTAATAGAATTTGGTTTTGTTATTTATTATTTTTATTTTCAAATAAATATATAATTTATAAAATATTAGAAAATCCACGATGCCGATGTATATAGGGTGTTAATATTCAATTTTATTTAGAATTATTTGTATCATTTAATATGAATAATATTACAGAAAATGCAGCAACGCCATATTCCGCAGTAGTGTGTATCAACGAAATGGAATATGGAAGTGGTTTTGGTAGTAGTAAAAAACAAGCTAAAGCTAATGCAGCTCGTAAAACTTTGGAAATTTTGATTCCTCAAATGAGAGATAAGATTTCTGGTGAGAATGGTGACAACGGTTCTGGTAATTCTAGTCGTACAATTAAAGCATCAAGAGGTAATTCTGATGCTGATTTATCATTTTTCGATGAGATTGCAATAACGGATCCAAGGGTCGCAGAATTTTGTGCTAAAACAACTGAACCATCTCCTCATGCTATATTAATTACTTGTCTTCAAAGAAATTATGGTTTAGGGGATATGCATATTAATTATTCCGTTAATACGTTGAAACATCAACGTAATGAATTTACCATGCGTGTTGGTAAACATGAGGCTACTGTTGTAAGTATTTAAACAATACAACAACAAAAAGAAAAAGAAAACTACAGAAATATGAATATTAATATATATATGCAACTTTTTTTAGGTATGTCGTAACAAGAAAGATGGAAAACAAAGAGCTGCACAAGCAATTTTAAAATTAATGCATCCGCACATTCAATCATGGGGCTCGTTGTTAAGATTGTACGGTTCGCGTAGTGTTAAATCATTCAAAGAAAAGAAACAATTGGAACAAGAGATAACATTGTTGCAAGGAAAAGCAGCTGTTAATCAACCGAATCATGCAATATTAGGTAAACTTAGACAAGAAATGCGTAAATTAGCCGAACAACATAAAGCCATTCAACCTATCGGTAAATTTGTACCATTAGATTTGCCAACTGGATCTTCGGCTAATTTAAATAACGTAGATTTGTAACGTTGCTAGTCAAATTTAGGAAAGAAATCTTAACGGGAAATTAATTTTAGCAAAAAAAAAAAAAAAAAAAACGCGTAAAAGTTTATATCTTCTAACGCATATATGTTGTTAAAACGTATGTCTTTTTTTTCTATTAAATATTTTAATCAAAAAACCGATTGATGATGATTTTAATCGTTACGATATTACAAATTTTGCATACCATATAGAAAAAGGTTGTTNGTAAATTTGTACCATTAGATTTGCCAACTGGATCTTCGGCTAATTTAAATAACGTAGATTTGTAACGTTGCTAGTCAAATTTAGGAAAGAAATCTTAACGGGAAATTAATTTTAGCAAAAAAAAAAAAAAAAGAAACGCGTAAAAGTTTTCTTCTTTTAACGCATATATGTTGTTAATACGTATGTCAAACTTTTCTATTAAATATTTTAATCAAAAAACCGATTGATGATGATTTTAATCGTTACGATATTACAAATTTTGCATACCATATAGAAAAAGGTTGTTAATTAATTTAATTAATTAATTTAATTTTTTGAAAAGAACAACCTTTCTTCATCTAGTATGCAAATTTTTAATATCAAATTGATAAAAATCAATCGAGTTTTGATAAAAATATACAAAATTTGACATTTATAGAAACGACATTACTTTCCGGTTCACCTAATACTTATATATTATTTTTTTTTTTTTATAAATGATTTTAAACATTTTTAATATAAACTCTACTTAAATCTTTACTTGATGCATATATAGTTTTTACATTTTGGCAATATGTTTGCTTTTTTTTTTATATATATACATAAAACAGTATTATTAATAACAAAAAAAAAGAAAACTAATCAAAGAAAACACTCTGGGGTTTTTTTTTATATTTCTATTATAATATATAAAAAACGTTTTTAACGTGTAAGAATAATGCAATATCAAAATATATATGACGTAATTAACCTGTTTACCGGCCAGGACGTATAAATACGTCAAACTTATTACTTTAAAACTAAAGATACAAATCTTTGTTACTTTATATATAAATAAACAAAAAAAAATCTATATTTCATAGTCTTTTCATTTATTTAAAGCATAAATAATAAATAAATAGTAAAAAAGGTGCATAATTAAATAGGGAATTCCCCGGTTAACAGGTTAAACAACATACTTCATAAGTATGAAAACATTACAAATAAAAAAGCGCCTAGTCATCGTCAACGATGGTGAGAAAAGAGAGTTCAAGTAAAATACTTTATTAAAAAAAAAAAAAACAACTAATACATAATTGATACAAAACAATTAATTTAAAATAATAATAAATAAAATATAGAAAATAAATCTGTTATTTATGAAAAATTCCTATTTTTCATTTGATAATAAATTACTAGACTAAAAAAAGATACTATGAGAGAAAATGAAACTCAATTTAACAAACGAACACGATAATAATTAATAATTATTAATTAATAGTTATATATATTTATGTATATATAAATTTCTGTAAAATCGTTAAAATATTGAAACGAATAAATATTCTTACGAAACACGTGTCGAATATAACACGAACGAATTGTTTACAGTTAAATGGCCGAATTTTAACTGACTCGAATGTTTACAAAAAAAAAAAATAATTAACAGTATAGAAATAAGGAAATACATAGTTCGATCATTTTAGTCGTCCTTTGACTGTTACACCGAGATGTGTATTATTTTTCGTTCATACTATCGTCAAAATTAAACGTACCGTTCATTTCTTTTAAATAATTCTTTGAAATATTCTTTAATCTCGTATCAGTGTATCAATGTTTTATTAAATTTTTAATATTTTCTACGATTGTTCATCAAAGTTCATTTAATTCGTCATCTTACAAAAAAGTAAGTAATACTTTAATAAGATCAAACTTTTCGAACCTTCCTCGTTGTAGGTTTCAAATTTTACCACCATTTTTCATTCTACGTAGTGAATCAAATTATCATTCATTTTTAAAACAAATTTATTCTTATGTAAGATGAAATTTATTATATTTTTTGTCATACATATTTTTGTCCTAAAACTTAGTAGAAAAAGCATTTAATATAAGTTATAAAATATCTTTTCTTTTAATATATTAGTAAATAATCAATAAATAATTGATTTATATGTTTTAAACATATTTTAAGGGGTAAATAATCAAAAAGTCAATTAATGGTCGCATACAAAATAAATACATAAGCAAATTTAAGATTATAAAACAAACATTTTTCTTGTCGTTTTAAATTATTCATTTAAATTGAAAAATAATTTAGCAGGGTTTGAATATTTGAAATTTATATAAAAATTTCAATTATCTTTTGTTCTTGAAATCCTTTCGATTATGATGTATACTAATTTTGATATTGTTACAAGGAACCATGAATTAGATATAAATGAACAATGAATAATTAATATCTATTTATAACGCAATAGTATATATAGCTAGGTTTTTTTAATCAATAATCTTTTGGCTCTTTTACGGTTGATATATATATATATGTATATATATATTCTTTTTTTAAACATAAACATTATAATTATCATCTACTTTATACATATTAACAAATGCCATAAGAGTATTGTATAAATGACTAAATTATATACTGTGTATAATTAATATACATTCAATCACGTGTTCTAATTTTCAAGTTGTATGTAATGTATATATATACTTTTCAAAAAATGTTATACACAGGTTTTTTAACATATTTATTCCATATACAGACAGTACTGTAACTATGCTTGTATGTATATATATATATATTAAAATACTTTTGAATATACAGAATGTTTTATAATACGTGGGACCCAATTTTATGACTAAACAGGGGACTCAAAAAAGTTTAATATACAAACATGTATTTTATTTATTTATTTTTTATTCTTATTTGAAAATAATTGTGCATTTGATAACCGTAAATACAATCAATGATAAATCCGCCAGTTTGAATATTGAATGGTGATAATTTTGAGTACTTTCTAATAAAATTAAATTTTAGTCAATTATTGGAATGCAAAAAGTTTTATATAAATTCATTTGATTATTTTTTGTATCCTCTGTATTCATTCTTAAAATTTGTTTCAAATATTACAAAACATTCTGCACATATATGCAATACCAATTCGTTATTATACTATCGTATAATCTATATATGTTTATAAAATGTTTCTTTTACAAATAATAATAATAATAATAATAATAATAATAATAATAATAATAATAATAATGATAATAATAATAAAAATAATAAACGTCAGATTATATATAAAACAATCGTATTGTTGTCGTGCATATTTACAAAATGTTAAATAAAGAAAGTGCATATATAATATGTATATATATATATTATATTATTGTATATAACACCGCTACATTTAAACATGTAATGGCACAAAAAACATACGTTATGATTTTCATCATTTTCTTATTTAATAATGTGTCAGTGCTAATATAATAATAGATATGTAATTGAAATATACTTTTAACATCCTCGCTGCGTCGTATTCAAGAAGTGCAATCTTTTTTTTCTACGCGTCGAATATCTCTAATAAATGTCCATAACTTTTAACGCGTCTCTACATAGAAAAAAAAAAAAAACACACAAAAAGAAGATAAATAATAATGCATAAATAATAATAATAATACTTAGCGCGTGTGTGCATGTTATAACAAAATTTAAAAAATTATATATATATATATATATTTAAAACATTTTTAATTAACTAAACTTTGGAAGCAAATTATATTAAATAATATACATATATATATTAGGGGGACCGAAAAGTAATGCCGTTACTATGCATGTTAAATTTTAACCTCTTGAGTACTGAATTATTTAAAGATTTTTATGCATATATAACGAATTTAATTTGTTGCTATATGAATTAATATGTAAAAGTAATACATTTTATTTGGACTATATTTATATTGGTGATATAAATATATTTTTGCAATAACATTTCAATTACAAAATAGAAATATTTATATATTTATATAAGTTTCTTATATTCAAATGACGAATCTCACTCGTCAAATGTACTCATTGGTCAAAAAACCAATTGGATGATTTTTATCGTTACGATATTAAAAATTTTGCATACTATATAGAAAAAGGTTATTAATTAATTTAAATAATTAATTTAACTATTGATTAATAATAAAAACTTGTTTGAAAAATGTATTCGTTTGAATTTGAGGTTAAAAAGTGACATTACTTTCCGGTCCACCTAATGTATATATATATATATATGTGAAGGTATGAAGTAAATGAAATTTGATATAGAAGATGAAATAGTTTTTCTCGTTGATTGAATTACTTATGAAATATTATTTTTGACCTTTGGATATATTGTGTGACAGAAAAATAATGATTAGCTATGTAATAAATATATCAATGTAATGTTATTATAGTTTCTTTTTTTTTGTATAGTGAGAAAGAGAGATGAAGAGAAAAAATTTAATACGCGTTACGATTTAAAGCTTATTTTTCATTTACGTATCACTAAGTATCAAATTACTCAAGTTATTCAATTAAATTTAACATTAATTATCATTATTTGTTTTGTTACGTAATTATGTACGGATGTCTATCAAAAAACTAACTAATTTCTAAATGATTATGTTACTATCTATTGTTCTCAGTAATAATTATAACAATAATAATAATAATAATAATAATAATAATAATAATCAATGATTAAATTAGTAATGTATATATATATATATGATGACGTTTAAAGAAATCTCTAGATTTATAAATGATTTTCTTCTTATTTTTTGTGTATACGTTAAATATGAGGAAATCTTTTATCTAATATTTTGTTTTGTTTTGAAAATTTCTTGTATAAGTTGTTCTTCGTATCGAATGATTTTAAAAAATACATTACATAGATTCATCACAGGTGCTATTACTGGATAATGCCATTTTTGAAAGACTGGAAAGACTTCGTCGCGGGCTACTACCTCCTAAAAAGCTGCTACTTGACTCGGAAAAGATTTTTCTGAAACTGCAAAGAAAATTATAAATGAAATTGTATTTATGATATAAGAATTATTTATAAATGTATGCGTACAATTTGCGAATACCAGACTCGGATGATTTTTTCCAAGGCGCATCATCTGGTTCGTATGGAAGAGGACCTTGTACAGGTGCATCTTTGTCATCTATAGGTCTATAAAAACGTTTAATAAAATCATACCAATTTATCAAAATCAATGATATAAATAATAATAATATTTGAAATGAAATGACATGACAATCAACGTACACTTCTGGTTTTGGTCGATAAAGTTCTAACTCGTCTTCTAAATCAGATACTCTTGCTTTCAATTCGTTTCTTTCGTGTAAGATCTCTTTTAATTCAGCAGTTGTAAATCTGGGCCTATCAGGATCATCCAGATCATAAACAGCTTTATTCGTTAAATCAGGACACCCTTGGGATTTAGATAAATCTTCATTTTCCTTCTTAGCCAATCCCAGTCTACCTCTTAATTGTATTAATTCACGATTTTGATCTTGCAATTGTGCTAAAAAATCAGCCCTCTCTTCAACAAGACCACGAGCTTGCATCTGTGCTTGACGTTGCTTGCGTTTCAATTCTCTTCCCACTACACCTAATTTCTCAACTTGTGATGTTAACTAAAAATAATAAATTGTAAAGAAATTTATACAAGAAAATTAACAAAAGTTAGATTCGTATTTTGATAATTTGATGCTTTTACATTTTCTATTTCTAAATTTTTCTGCGCTAATTCTCTATCTCTTGCTCTAATTTGATCACGTTGTTTATCTATCATAGATCTTAAATGTTGTAAAACAGAAACGTCCACTTCTTGGCTAGCAGTAAAACCTAAAAACAATAATGTATATAATTATTGTAAATGAAATTAATATGATATACTTAAATATAAAATATTATTAGTTAGTTATGGGGTAAGTGGTTAGTACTTTGTTTACCGCTGTACTGACTATCACTTTCAGATTCCCGTAGTGCTTCTGCCAATCGTCTATTCTCTTCTTGCAATCTTGTTACCATACCAACTAAATCTCGTGATTCTTGTCTCCAATGTTCTTCAATTTGCTCTAATTCCTAAATTAAGATTAAACACATCAGATTTGTTGTTTCTTTAAATGATGTTCATACAAATACACATAATTACTTTTTCAAATCGTTGTCTATCCTCAGCTTTGCCAATCTTATCACTCTCAAGTTGAATGATTTTAGCCCTTAATTCTTGAACAATAGTATTTTCCCTTTCATTTCTAACAGCTAAATTTTCAAGCAATTCTAATGCGTTTATTACTTTTGGCATTAAATTGGTTACAGATTCAACTCCGAATAGATCTATTAATTTTTCACATTCCTTTCCTATTTCTGAAGCAACATCGTAGACATCTACTACGGAGACGTCTGATACCACATAATATTCTTCCATCGTAGAATTTTGATTGGGCTTTAGACAAAAAGGCATGGAATAATGCTTTTAATGATAATAGTTTTCCCTTACATATACCTAATAACAAAGAAAATACATAAAACAGGATAATTTCAAATAACATTGTTTTCAATTAATGTTGCATGCTTTTGTTTAAAAAGATATATATATGTATATATTTAAATGTAACGATATTGAAAATTATTTTATAAAATATACAAGTGTTAAAAATCAGTTGTAAGACATTCATACATATTTGTCATAATTGGAACATAAATCAAACGTGTTCATTTTATAACAAGAATATTATTTGAAATAATAAATTAAATTTAACGATTGTCATTAAATTTTAATTAATAACAAAATATTTCTTTTATAATCGGCTAAACGTGATATACAGAAAAAAATAATTACATTTACATTTATACGTACACGAAATAATTTTCTAACGTTATTTTATTTCTAATATTGTATTTTTTAATTATTTTTTTTTTTATTGCAAAAACATAATTCGTTCTTTTTTTTCCTAAAAGCACAAAGGAATACTTTCAATTCAACAAGTATAATAATATTCAGTATTCTGCACTTTGATGACTAACGTATGCAGTGTCAATTTCTTCTTTTATGTGAACTGTCTAATCCAAGATCTAAACTTGAGTATGACGAGGTTAAATCTTTTATCGTGCTTATCTTCCTACTATTCTGATTGGTTCATTCTTTCGATAGTATCGATGTAAGATGTAATCGATATATCGCGATTATTTTTATATTTTTATACTTTGGGTTGGTAACACTGAATCGAATTCATGTGTCATATGTTGTATAGGTTATGTTTATTATAAATTGAACTTGTGAATAAACTAAAAAGGATTTATTATAAATATATTACAAAAATGGAAAATAAATCTAGTAAGTAGTAAAATAATATAATAAACATTTAAATTAAAATAAATATGTAAATAATATTTATTTTATATTTGTTTTTTCTGTAGACAATGTTTGTTTACCTTTATCGGTGAATTTAACAAAAAGTTTTACTACCGATGAAACTAATGAAAAATATATCTTAAACTTTTTACAAAACATATTACCATCCGCTGATAGGAAAAATATTGCCGACGAATTGAGAAAGGTTAGAAAATTTATATTATTGTTAATAGACATAACCTAAAAATTGTCTCTATATAACACTTGACATATTAGCAATTAAACTTAATTATTTTATATGTTTTCTCCTTTGTAATATATAGAATTACATATTCAGCAAAATTAAATCTAAAACCAAGAGAAATATTAAATTGAAAAAAAAATATTTAACCTCGAGGAAAAGGTTATCACTTGGATTGGGTAAAATTACAAATAGAAATGGTTTGAAATATACAGATTTATTGCCACTTCATGAATTATGGTTGAAATATATACAAAGTGCATTGGGCGATAATTTTTCATTCGATACGTCATATAAACCAATCGATAACAATTGGGAGACAATTAATAATCAATTAATAAAAGCAGATTTTCATGGTGCTAAAATTGCAGTAGTTAAATCTAAATGTCCTAGTTTGGTCGGTATTAATGGTATTATCGTGCAAGATACTAAGAATACTTTTAGAGTATGCTGTACAGATGATATCATTCGCAGTGAGTATTATTATATTATTTATTAATGAACAATTAATAATAATAATAATACGATTAATAGAATGCTAATTATGTTTTTTATCATTACAATGTTTTTATAATGAATGAACATGTTTTATTTCTTTATCGTAGCATTACCAAAGGAATCTATAGTAATAAATGTTTACTTACACAAACTAACACTGCAAATTTATGGAAAACAGTTGACCGTAAGACCTATTGAAAGAACAGTTAAAAAATTTAAAAACGTATTTACCTTGAAATTATAATAAGTTCTCTAAAACGTGTGTTTATATACAACGTATCAAAGTATGTACGAATTATAAAGAAATTGTTTTCATTTTAAACGTTTTTGTATAATTCAAACTATTTTCAAATGTATAATGTACATACTTATGTGTATATATGTATATATAGTTATTTTTTAATAGAAAATTAGGAATAAAACAGATATTTTCACAAAAACATCTATTATAATAACTATTACAATAATAAGTTATTAAAATACTTGAAAGCGTGAGCTATTACTACATTTCAACTATTTTTTTTTTTTCTTTTCCTTTCTCTTTCTTTCAGAACATTCATATTATATCTAATAAATAATATATTTTATATTTTTATCTATTCAATGTTATTTTTTTTTTATTTTTTTTTTCCTTTAAATTTCTACTAAAATGTATCATTTTAAATATACATAATATTGATTAGCCCATGCCACTATGTGATACACTATGAGCAAAATAATAAGGCAACTTTTTAATAAAGATTGCTTTTCATTTAAAGTATTCATTATCATCATCATCATCGTGATCATCGTAATGAACCTTTTCTCGTTTGCCACAAAATTACAATTCCATTAGTTTTCTTTTTTTTCTTTTTTTGGCGCATGGACTTTTATATCATTTGTTACAGTTATTAGAATTATTTTATTTTTCTTTTTTTTTTCTTTTTCTTATATCATTCACTCTGATATAGAATATGATAT